GTCCCCTATATAACCCCCCTTCAAGGAGTTTAGACTATAGCTCATAATCCCTATAAACCCCTACATAACTCCAGTTTCCATTTCATTTTCCATTTTCTTTTCCATTTGATTCTCCATTATAATAGTAGTTTGCCTGTCACCTCTAGGCCGGCTGAAGGCGACCGAAGCCCCCACTCGTGGAGCTCTCCGGCCCCGCTTAGGGATCTGAGGGTTTAGGGTTTAAGGTCTCTTTTCTGTGGGACCTTGCTGTTGAGCCACATCGGGAGCCACCGCGTCAGCATTTGCTCCAGGGAGGCAAATTCAGCTGGCTTTGTGGTCTATTGATTCAGGCTTAACCAAAAACGATCAGTCTATTCTTTCCTATAGTCATTGGAACCCGGCTGATGCCAATATTGCCGTCATGCCGTAGTCGTTATCACCTTTGTCGTCGTTACCCTCATCCTCCTCATCATCGCTCTCACTCACATATTACTCCCCGTTGCTAGCACGACAACACGCTGCCTGCAGATGGTGAAATTCCGGGCATCGTTCAACATTCTGAGGATGTCATTCTCAATTATGGGAGGTTCCTAGCTGCAAAAGACCAATGACCAAGCCCTTTTCTAACAACTATGGCCCCGTGCGTCCTCACCGAACAATCTGGTCCTTACTGTTACTGTACGGAGCTCCAAACCTTTGAGAAACTTGTCTGTGAACCGACAATTTCTAAAAAAAACAAGCCTTTTCAACCCAAATAATGCATATAAACGTTTGAAGGAACCAACGCTTATTCATATGCCCTACACTCCTAAACCCTAAACTCTGCACAAACGTTTCCATGTTCTTTTGAGGGCATATCCCCCCCTATGTAACCCCATAGAAACCTTATAGAATCCCCATATGGCCCTGTATGGGCTACAGGCAATATTTCCGTACGTAATCAGCGGACACGGGTCCTTATTAAGGGAAGACATGAGGGGCTATACTAAACTACCAAAGGGACCCCTATGTCCACCCTTAATGGTCCCATGGTAACCCTGATATTGACAGTAGCTAATGTATAGCCGACAACCCACAAATAGCCCTAAAACCCCAAACCCTGAAACCCTAAACCCCTGAATTCCCGAAACCCCGCAACACCAAAATTCCTAAACTAAACCCCTAAACCCTAAGCCCACCAGTACCCCAGGGCTCTCTGAGGAAGTGGCTTTCCCCTGCCACCAAGTGCCAGGACCTCTGGGGCTTTGCTCACAGGGGGGTTTGGGTGGTTTAAGGGTTTTTTGGGGTTGTAGGGGTGTATGTAGGGAAATACTAGGGGAATATGGGAATATATATATATATATTATAATATATAAGGATTATGTAGGGTTTGGGGCCAAGGATTTAAGGTTTAGTAGGAGTTGAGACTATAGTTTGCGGTGTGGACTTTGGCATTTTGGGTCTAGCTTTGGGAATTAGGGTAGTCAGGGTTTAGCATGTAATGCTGTAGAGAGCAGGGGGGAGGGGTTTAGGAGGTACTGGCGTCAGGCCTGAGGGTTTAGGAATCCGTTTAGGGTTTACGGTTCGGGAGAATCTACCAGGATGCATCAGCAGGGATGCTACAGGTTTAGCGGAGACGATTCTGTTTTCTGCAGGAAGAGTTCCACCCGCCCTCTTGTAGCGATGATCCTACTGGGAGCACTAGGGGGGCCCTTGTTTGTAGAGATAGCTGCCTGTGGCACATGTTACAATGACTGCGCACACACAAGATGAAACAAAAGTGGGCTGCCTGTTGTGCCGATGTTGCTGCCCGTGAAGACCTGCCAAATCACAGCTGCCAGCTTTCAAAGGCACTTGCGCATCAGTTGTGGCCTGCAAGCCAGGCTGGTCCGTCCACACCTCCATAGTAACCTCCATCAGTTGCTATGAAAATGCTGTACGGCTCTAGCGCTCGTGGGCAGTCTCGAATTGTCAAGGTACTGGCCTGTGGTTAGCTGGGAATGAGGGAATGGAAAAGAAAATGCAAACTACTATAATGGATTTACTATACGGATTCATTCCTTCCTAAATCCATTCCTTCCTACACTCCCAAGCAAGCCTTGTTGGGGCCGACCAGACGCGCAGCCAAGAAGTCACCACCACCTGTTCGGTCCAAGCCTCACAGCTCAAATGGGGGGGAATAGTAGGGAATAAGGGAATATGTTGGGGTTCTATAGGGACAATGGAACAGAAAATGAAAACTACTGTATTATAATATGGTATATATTGGGTTTATAGCAGGGAAGAAGAGTAAGGCTGCCACAGTAGTTTCGATCAATTGGACCACCCGCATTCACGGCCTCTGGCAGAACTGCGCTGGATTTTTCTCCATGAAAAATATTGCTCACAGACCTCCTGAAGCAGCCGCGGCTCTCGCCTAGCATACAGCACAAGTCTGCCACGAGGCAATGCTCAGGGTTTGTGGTTGCCCTCGGACTTTTGCGTTTGCGGCTAAGCACAAGGCTTCTGCTGCCCTTCTCGGAAAGTGTTTAGGGTTTAGGGCTCAAGGTTTAGGAAGTTTAGGGTTTAGGGTTTAGGGCTCTGGGCTTAATGATTACCCCCCAATAATGGGGTTATATGGGGATATATGAGCAAAAGTCTAAACTCCAAGTATCCCCCTTGATATCCCCTATAGTAGTCCCCTATATATAGACTATAGCTCATATAGGGCTCAGGGCTTAGGGCTCAGAGGCTTAGGGCGTGGGCATGCGACCGAGGTGCAAGTCCAGGTGGGTACCAGCAACTTCCGGCAGCTCACCTCTCCCATGCACACAGCAGACAATAATTTGTTTAAGGGTTTTTAGGCTTTAGGGTGTTTAGGGTTTAGGGTTTTGAGGGTTTAGGGTTTTTGGGTTTAGGTTTTTTTGGGTTTTAGGGTTTTTAGGGTTGAGGGATTTTAGGGTTTAGGATTTTAGGGTTTAGGGTTTAAAGGGTTTGGAGGGGGGGGTATACAAGAGTATATGGGGGTATAGTGGTATACGGGAGTATATGGGTAGATAGGGTTATGTAGAAAATGGCATATTCCCTAATAGCTTGGGAAAGATATCCGTGAACCGCCAAACCCAATATTATGAGGGTTCCCCAAATTGAGGGTACCTTTTTGGGGTCTACAACAAGGATTCTAGCATTTGGGGGTCTATAATTGGGGTTCCCTTCTTGATGGAAACTACCATATTTAATGGTAGTATCGATGTCATTGTCCAAGTTCTTTGGCATGTGGTTGTCCGTGGATTACTTATATGCCCTAAACCCTAAACCCTAAACCCTATTATATGCGAGCTTGCCTGTGATGGCAAGGCTTTCATCCGTTGCTGTTGTTCGCGAGGCTGAAACCATCAGAACATGATCCAGCACGTCACCGGCCTGGCCAGGTTCAGCACCTTAACAGTAGTTTCCATGTTCTTTTCCACTATCCCTAGATAACCCCAGTATACTATAGCAGTTTCCATCTACGCAAATATCTTAAGCAGACGAATTTCCAGATCTGAGACGGTGGCTTGGTGACCCTTCAAGTTCCAGTAGGCATGGTTCGTCCTGATGAAGCCATGCACAATAACTTAAGACAGACTCCCTTACGCAGCTAGCAACGCGGTCTAGCCAAGCTGCATGCTCAGAAGAGTTGGTTTGTCTGTAACGCCGCTGTAGCAGAAGTGCAACTCACCTCCGCCTGTGCCGACACTGAGTTCCAACGAAGCAAAGCAAGGAGGCAAACAGGGGATCCTGCGCACTTTGTACGTGACACTCACGTCAACCTGAGCTTCACCCATGCTTGGCAGAGGTCATGGTGGATGCATCATGCACAGATTGTTTTGCTTACTGGGGGTTAGTAGGGTATATACGCTACCCCCCCCCCTCATGTACCTACCCTTTTTGGCATGGNGGGCTGCAGATGTGGAAATGTGGAAATGTGGAATTCTGTAATTAATGCGGTTTAATCAGAAACATTGGAAAACCAATAAAAGCATATTAATATACCACCAAATACTAGAATCTATATGAATAATGCCAAGGCCCAGTGATCTTTACTGATTCAGACCAGATACCTGAAGGAAAGCAAAAAAAGGTAGGTACATGGGGGGGGCACCGTATATATATATATATACATATTTATATATATATAGACAGGGATTAGATTCCCGGATTCCCTACGAGGCACCAGTAAGAGATTGTTTTGTCTGCTTTATGTTCGCAATAGCCATGCGACCTTCCCAGGGTAGCCCATGGCCCCGTCTGGCTCTGTCAGGGTGAGGGTGACCTTTTCACACCGAAAAACAGCCGCGGCAACCTTCAGAACTGATTGGTCAGGACCTGCTCGTCCGACGCACTAGCAACATCAAAGACTTGAGAGTAGAATCCCTTGGTTCCTGCAAGGCAAGCGCAGCATACGTCGAACACTGCTGAAGGCACAACGGGCGCCTCCATGCAAATGATGACTGCCATTGTTTGTGTCCAACTTAAACTGCTGCCCGTCCAGTTCGAAGACGCCGTTAGCAACTCGATTTGCACCTGATGTGAGCTACAGCCTAAACACCCTAGTATCCTCCTTAATAAACCCTATAATATTCCCCGATATGCCCCTAAACCCCACACCCCGTTTAAGGAGCTTAGACTACAGCACTTGTGGCAAACAGTCCTCATCTAGACCACTCCAGGCGTGAGGCGACTGAGCGCTGCACAGCGGCCAACAACCGTGCCAAAATTTGGCTTCCCTCCGTTCACATATCCTTGAGGTTTAGGGTTTAGGGTTTTGGATCAAGAAGAGCCCATCAATCCAGAGCAGCTACAATAGCAGCTTAATCCACGAATTACCTGAACTTGCCTCTTGCGGACTGTTCGTCCAGCTCAGTTCTTGAGGATGCCATGGGCAGTCCCATGATTGCAGCAAAGACTCTCTCCAACGACTCGTAGCCTTGGAACTTGCCGGTTTCCTCTAATGCTCCATGAGACATCACTGCGCGCACGAGCAGGCACCGAGACATGTGCCAAGGACCACATCGATCCATTCGCCTCTCACCTTTCTGGATTTGGTAGTTTCCCAAAATAGGGGGGCCCCAATGTAGACCCTAATATACTGTAATCCTTGTTATGGGGACCCTCCAAAGGTACCCCTATTTTTGGGAAACACCCAATCTAGGGAAGCCACAGGCAGCCAAGCTGGCGCGAGCACTGCTCGTTCGTAGGGAGCAATGCGAGGGACCAAAGAAAAGGATCGAGAAAAGGAACAAAAATGCTTAAGGACCAAAAGAAATACAATAGTCCGCCAAGACCGGAGACCCGGGGCATTTCGATGGAACGCCCCGTGATAATGTGTCATTACGGAGGTTTGGATGCCCTCAAGTCGTGGGGCTTGATCCCCCGCGCCTCCCCAGCCGAAAATGAAAACATGCTTCAAGAAGGCAGCATTTTTTAGCCAACTGCCCCATGAAGGACCCACAAATCATTGCATATGCATGTCTGCAAACACATAGTCAATGCATACGCAGCTTGACAGTGCGCAGCGCATGTTTCAAACATAACCCAAACACTCCTCCATTTCGAGAATGACGCGGAGGACCTACACCTTATCTTCTTCCTTCCTTCCTCCCTCCTTCGCTCCCTGCCTGGCCTATTGGAAACTACCATCCCTAAACCCTAAACCCAACCCTAAACCCTAAACCCCCATCTCTAGATCGAAAGCCGGCCTTAAGCCGCGCAGCAACCAGGGCAGCTCCCAAGCTGCAAACGTCCACCTCGCTTCGCGCTTAGGGTTTAGGGTTTAGGGTTTGGGGTATAGGGCTTGGAGCTCAAGGTTTAGGATTTGGGGTTCAGGTTTTGGGGTTTGGGGTTAAGGGTCTAGGGTTTAGGGCTTGGGGTGAAGAATTGCTACGGGAAGCCAACGCTCCGACTACAGGGAGGTTTATCAAAATGGGCGTGGCCCAACGGACCCTAGGGATACATAATCATGACGTGGTTAAGAGGTCCTTCTTGGGGAAGAAAGCCGAGTATATTGAGAAAACCCCTCAATCCTGAACCCTAAACCATAAGCCGCTTCTGCTCTGGCAAAGCTGGGTTGCTGTTCAGGAACTTAAATTGAATAACGTTTTTTTGGTTGTTAAACCCAGTAAGATTATATTCCTTATATAAGATACTATACCCAAAAGGAGGATAGAATCTTACTCTATAACGGGCTCAATAATATCCCCAAATGAAATGCTGCTCAATTGAGTTATCATAATAAGGAAACCCTATCATTTACTATACTATATACCCATATTTTGGTAACTTCAACCCTAAGCCCTAAACCCTGACCCTGAACCCTAACTTCATTCAAGTTCCTTAACAGCAACCCAGGAAGTCCAGGAGTTTCGCCTCCAGGAGCTCTGACTTGAGCGTGACGAGCTGGACGTCTTTACCATCAACAGTGCCCCACAGCATTGTTTGCTACAGAGTTAAGAAAACTGGCAATGAAAAAATCCACAGGTCAATTCTTTACAGCATGATCACATGGCAAGCGGTGCATAACAACTAGGCTAGCAAAGCTTGAGCCAAGGCCGGCGCGCAATTCCTCGAAAATGAAATGAATACCCTCACAACAGTACTGGCTTTCTCAATTTCCATGTCACATGGATTTCGGAATTTGAGATCCTTCAAAAGGTCCAAATTCCAAATTCACCACAGAATTGGTCAAGAAAGTCAGTTCTGATTGTCTGTCTAGGTGACTTGGGACAAAGAGCTTACATCAGGCCTGCGGCTCCAGCACGAGGCCACCGCTATAGGCAGTCTTGCCCTTCCGCGGTCCCTGCAATGGAATTGCGTGAAGGCCAGTGGAGCCGAGTCGGGTTTGCTCCACCTGCGCGTCAGGCTCATCCGGATCATCAAAGCCTGGCGCAGAACACAGCTGCTGCGTCTAAACTCCTGAAAAAGGGGGGGGGGGTTATGTAGGGGATTACATAGGGTCTAGGGTTCAGGGTTTGCCCAATGCCTAGGGTTCCCCAACAGCCCAGGTCTCATCGACCGCGTCAAGTTTGGCTCGGCTTGAAGTTTGGGGGGGCGGGTGGGGGGGGGGGGTAATTACGTTCGCTTCAGCTACAACCATCTTAACCTCTAAAACGCAGTATCTCGGGAACCCTCATGCAAGAACGCCGCCTTCATGTTCGAGAGCGTCTGATTACTAAAGCATCCGTGCCCAAACCATAACAACGTTCACGTTCGAAAGTATCCCATTACCAGAACATCCATGCCCAAACTGTAATAATGCTCATGTTCGAGAGCATCCCATTACCAGACCATCCAGGCCCAAGCTATAATAACCTTAGTATTGCAAGTGCATCCAAGTACCAGAAACAATGCTCCCAGAGAAACGAAGTCCATGTCATTTCCGGGAACCCTCAAAAAACCCGCGCGAAGTGCGACAAAATGCGTATCATATACAGCTTTTAATCGCGCAAACACAGAAAAAGGCTGACTATCACCGCTCTGCTCCGTCTGCTACGCCCTCTGTGACCCGTAAAACGCAGTAGCTTTGCGGAGGGTCCCCAATCGACACCGTCAAACGAAATGCGTATGATTGCGTATGATTGCGTATGCGACATAGCAGTAATAAAATGCACCATGCAAAAACCATTGGTTTTGCACATGTTGACTTCGAAAACCTGCAACAACCTCATCTACAATTGACGCGGCACGCGGATTTTTGGCAAAAATCCGCGCAGTCATGATCGTAGGTTACTACAACAGAGAAACCCGGGCATGCACAATCTCCTTCGAAACGCAAAACTTTCTGCAACTTTTACCCAAAAGCCCCTTCTCCCCACGAAAGGATACCAATGCTCCCAGAGAACCTCTACCATTGCGCCTCAGGGTTCAGGGTTGCTTTCAAATTGCATTTGCACGTGACCGGCCTTCCACCTGTGTCCGTCGCTTCTTCTGTGACGCGCTTTCTTTGTCGGGCCTCGCGACATCGGCGCGGTGGAAACGATGCCACAGGCAAGCCCACTGCAGGAGGAGCCAGATGCTCAGGCACAGGCAGCACGAACTTTTTGCCATGAAACCTTGAAGCTGGATGAGCTTAGAGTCTGATGAGTCTGATTTATATTTTGCTGGTGTATGGAAGGGTACTTGACATGGTAATTGCACTGGATTCTGGATTCACAAAACTGTGTGTCAACCAAGCCTGTGGGTAAATGGTGCGCATGGGGCTGGGACCAGCGGAATCGCCAAGGTCCAGACTCGTGGCACAACAGCAGCTCATTCCGCTCAGCTCGCTTGTTTTGAAGCCTAAGTTTCTGCGGTGCCCTAAAAGAAACCACACTTCGGAGACCGAGAACAGGGCGAGCCGTTCCATAAATTGCCGGCCAAGTTAGTCAGTTGTCGCGTCAGCGGCCTTGAGAGAATTTGCATTCCAGCGAGCTGCATCAGTTCCGATTGGGCACATCTTCGCCATATCCTTTTATGTGCACAATTGCCCTCGGCACTTGCAGACCCTCTCCGCGTGTATTCGTCATGGGTGGCGCATACTGCGCCGACTTCAATACAAGCGGGGGGATTAGGCATAGAGGCCTGGTCACCGGCCCGAGAGTCGTTAACAGCGCAGCGTCGTCTTAAACGACTCCGCAGGGCTATCACACAAGGCCTACTGGTAGTAAGGAGCATGAACGATGCCTCACAAGAAAACACCCGTGTTGCGTTGTCAACATCTGTTGCCCACCATTAATTTTCTGAACATGCTCCATCACCAGATGGCCCTGCCTACGTGGACAACTAGCATGCGGCAGGTACGAACCCTCCCGCTGCCACGCTAGGCCATTAGCGCTCGGGTGTGCCTTTCCAATACAAACCTGGCTTGGCAGGAACCTCTCAGAATGTGAGGGGCAGCTTTTTGGATGTTGCGGGGAAACCTGAGCAAACCGGCATTCAACTCTTTTTCGTTTCGAAACAATACACCAACATCCGAGAAACCCAAGATTGCCGTATGCGGCGGAATCTCAGGCGCATCCCACCTGCTGGCAGAATGCAAGAGGAAAAGCTGCTGATCGGCTTAATGCAGCCAAGTCACGCATCAAGATGCTTATACCCAGGAGCGTTGGCAAACTCCATCTGCTTGCGCGTCGCCTCTTCACCAAACTAGGAAAATCCCCTACACAGCCTCAACTCTCTCAAAGCTTTGCCTTGAGGGCTTGAATCTCGGCAACCTTGGAAATTGCACCCGCGGGGTTCTGCACGGCTTTCACGGCTTCCTCAAGTTGAGTCAGGGCACTGCTATGTACCATGACATAGCGCCTTCCACTCGACATGCCGGTGCAGCAAAGTAACTGCGAGCTGGTCATCGAACTGCATGCGGATGAAGCCCTTGGAAGATCTGACTTCACGTCTCTTGCATTCTTGCAGTCTGGACTTCCTTGCACCAAGGTACAACAAACTCTTCCTGATCAATGTTGCCACCTTGACTGTCCTTGGAGAATCCAGGCATGCCGGAGACGCTCACAAGCAACTCCCTGCTTCCCTCAGCTTCCAAATCCTAAATCCCTCACAGCACACCAACACCATGAAGTCAAAACATAAGACCTTAACCTATAGTCCCCATTCTCAAACCCTACACCTTTGAACCTTTGGAAACCCTATACCCTAAACCGTGAACTCGAACCCACTGGTAGGCAAAGCCACATCCACTTTGTCGAAAATCTTGTTCAGCTCGCGCTTCGCCGAGCCAGTTTCCGTCCCCTCGCTGTGTGGTGGGAAGCTGGTATAAAAAGGCTTCCTTGAACTAGGCTTGTTCTTTTTTTGTGGGCCTTCTTCCACCTACATAATCCAGCTGAAAGCCCAGGGTTTCGGGCTTGGGGTTGAGGGTTTAGCCCCAGGTCTCAGTAACAGGGTTCAACCTTTAGGCTTTAAGGTCATTTAAGGTCTCTCTACAGGCAGAAGTAGAAGTGTGGGAGCAAATTCTTGTGCGAAACTGTTTGTGGTTCACATCATGTAACTCTGGTAGGTAGGGGCCACCGATTTATTATACGGCCATGTACCTCTGCTCATCAATCTAAGGGGACCTTTGGAAGACCCCGCATCCTTACAACAGTCGGCGTTGCTAGATGCTTTGCTCCCAGTGTTCTGATTCTTGCACATCTCAACCGACGCGACTCTACAGCTAATCCTCGGCCAAGCCTTGACTACACAGCTTCACGTCCTATCTACTGCAGCCACATCAAGATCCTTGATCTTGTGGGAGCTTCACAGCATAAAGGTTCATTTAGAACCAGGGAATTGTGGGGTCATGATTTGAGAAATACGAGGGGTTATGCCCTGGAGAGCAGGAGCATTCAGTTTCCATCAGGTCCTGTTGCCCTAAGTAAATCCTAGATAAGCCTATATAACTTCTATATCGCCCCTACATAAACCCTATATAACCTGTTATAGACACCCAAAATACCCCTCTATCACCCCTTTACAACCCCTAGAACCCCCCAAAAACGAGGGGTGAGTGGTGTTGCATGTTCACTGCAAGGATGCTACACCCCCAAACCCTAAACTGGGTTGCCGTTAAGGAACTTAAACTAGGTTACCACAATGGGTATAGTAAATAATAAGGATACCCCAATATGGCAACTTAATTAAAGTTCCTTAATTCCCTATATCATCCCAGTTTCCATGTCATTTTCCATGTTCGTTTCCATTTCATTCTCCATTATCGGGGATAATATCCCTAAACCCTAAACCCTATATACAAAAACCCTAAATCCTATAAACCCTAAACCCTGGTTCCTTAGCAGCAATACAGAAAACCGCAAGCAGAGTTCCGCTCGCCTGCGGAACGCCGAAGAGTTCCATACTTGCTGGTGCCACCTGGCATCCAAATAGGGGGACCCCAATGTAGGGGATATATTGGGGTAACCTCGGGGATATATTGGGATAGTGGAAAAGGAAATGGAAACTACTATTTAGGGTGATGAAGCGTTTAGGGTTTATAGATCCCCCATAATGGAGAATCAAATTGAAAAGAAAATAGAAAATTAAATGGAAACTAGGGTTGTATCGTAGTTTACCTAGATAAGGGACCCCAATATAAACCCCAATGTATGATAATTAGTCCTCATTTTTGGGACGCCTAAAAAGGCATCCCGAATTTTGGGAAACCCCATGTAACAGCAGTCATTAGCATCATCAACCGTTAAAGATGCTTGTGACATACAGTAATCAAAACTGCAGTTTTAAGCACTTCCGGCTTCACTCATGGAGCAAGAGAACGTCCGGAATATGCGCACCACTAACAGCTCTGCCTCAGCCATGTTCATAAACTCCTCGCGGTCCAAGAGATTGTCCACCTTGCAGAACCAGAACATGATGTCTCAAGGTTACCTGCAAACTTGGTACAGAGAAATGATGCCACCAGGCCACGTTTTTGTCCAACGCGTGGAACAGTTGCCCCACCTTGGCTCCATGTCGTTAAAATGAACCATTTGTACAAATGGTGATGCGAGGCTTGGAGAAGAGAAGGAACCACCAAAGTCTGCCACGCCAAGCCACTTCCTGCTTTAAGCGGCAAAGTGAGACCTCAATTCATTCTCCAGTACCAGTGGCAAGAGCATCAGCAGTAGCAGAAACGTGTCACAGCGCATTTAGACTGCAATGCCAAGAAGCAATATCCACTGCCTCAACCTGCTTGCTGTTGACCTGAGCTAAATGTCCAAAGCTGAGTGCGCAGCGCATCCGGCTTACAAAGGTACTGACCTGGAGGAGGATGTCCACGTCTTCCAAGTTCTCTAGGTGGCCAACAGAGAAAATGCATGTCCTTCCGGCAGCACAGCACACTGTTCTCTAGACATCATTAACATCTCTGCTTTATCCGAAAAGTCTTTGCAACCTTACAGAAATCTCCCATAAGGTGAAACGGCTCCTGGGACTCCGGAGGTGCAGAGAGTCTCGCCTTTCAAGAGCACAAGTTGGCATAGCAACTAAAGGAAAGGGCTAGTGAAGCCAAGCGGCGGCTTTTCCAGACCACGCAGATCTACGAATTCCCGTAGGATCTCCTGGCCATGCAGACTTCTTCATAAACTCGGTTCCAAAAGTCTTGCTTCAGCTCAACTCGATGCCGCAGCAATGGCAGAAGAGCTCCACAACGCGGCGGGCAAAGACGTAGTCGAAATGCTCCAAGGGCTTATGCAAGATGAGGACTTCGGGGTTCATCACCTGGGTGTTGCTCAAGCTGGAGCGGCCTGGGGGAGTTCTTACTGTGGGTCTGGAACATGGCAGGAAACGCCGCGGGCCAGGCAAGATGTTCCAGACCAAACATGAAAGCAAATCCCAACCCACATAAGATAGGACTAAGACTGAAGCTTGTTCCCAGCAGGTTTGCTTTGGATCCGAGGCGCAAGTGCCCTTGCTATGTGCAGTAGACACCTGAAGTTCTTCGCAAGAGGTGCAAGGAGTGTCAGCAGATCCAATTCTTCGCCCCAAGTCCGCGGCTTCTCGGTGAACGGTAAGCTGTTTTCAGGAGATTGATTGTTCTCCTTCCAGTCAGAGAACCCTTTTGACTTACACCCCAATCGTGCGCAGCGCGACATGCGATTCCATAGTGATCGCACGTCCTGAAGCTCACGCAACGCCGCCGATTGTGAAGAACCCGGGGGAGTCGGACCGGACGCCACACGCATCTTCTCTGTCTGGCGTCCTTTCCTTGGGGTCGAACGCGTCAAATCTAGATGCTTTTTCTCTCTCTGCTCATGCCTAGGCTAGCCCTTGTGGATGCTGGACTGAGCGCCTGTCTTCACATCTCCCTGGCAAGACCACTACAGACAGGCCTGATGACTAGTGCACGTTGCACAGCTGAACATCAAAAGATGGCCTGCCGATTTATGGACTCATCAATCAGCTTCAGAGCATCTGCACTGAGGCCCAGCCGCTGGCAGATGGCCATCACCTTAATCTGCCCCGATTGCATCAAAGCATACGATTGGGGGTTCCGAAAGATAAGGGACCACATCTAAATGTGAAATTATTATAATTTTGGTGGATCCCCAGAGAGGGCCCCTAATTTTCGAAAACACGCACTTAAGCTTTTGAGCTCACTGGCGGGCTGCGAGCGGAATCAGGGTGGGAATAGAGAGCAATCCGGGTGTCGGACTCTTTCTGGCTCCTCGTCTTGGCCTGATTTCTTGCAGTGGACGATGGACTTACCGTTACGATATAGGGATTATATGGGGGTTATATTGGGATTATATAGGGATTATATTGGGATTATACTACTATAGTATTTTGGGGGTTATATGGGGATAATGGAAAAGAAAATGGAAACTACTATAGTATATTGGGGTTATATGGGGATTACGACAGTATCCAGAAAGATCATGCGAATGTCACGGAGAATCGTCTGAGGCTTTGGCCATCTGAAGGGCCAAATGTGAGGTTCTCAAAGAGTGTGATCTCAGGCAAGAGCTGCCTCAGCAACGCCAAAACAGAATGAAGTTGCGGGACTGCACGACCTCTCGATGAATCAACGTCAGTGCTCACAAGTTTGCTACCAGAAAGAAATGATGCAACACTTTTACTTGGAAGGCAACACCAAGCTGCCCCTGAAGTTTACGGGGAACGACAATGTTGCAGGCTCTGAACAGCCTTGCCATTGCTGACGCGCGACGGGTCCTTCGACACATGGAGAACCCGCAAATGCGGAGGCACGAAGAGCTTCGTATGGCCTGGGTAATGTTTTAACCGCCTTCAGTACATTGCAGTTTCCATAAGTACTGTAGGGTACCCCAATGTTGACTCCAATTTACTGTAATAGTCCTTTTTATTGGGATCCCAAAGTGGTACCCCAAAATTTGGAAATCCACACATGCCCTGCACTCAGCTCCGAAACACCCGAACAATAGAAACTAGCGCTATGGTGGCAGGAAGCAACAGTAAGACGGAATGTTCTGTGATGATGATCCGACAGCCATGCATCATGAACTGCAGGCAAGAGTCCAGAGGGCAAGAGGATGCCAGCAAGTAGCTCCTCATGCGTCCAACTCACCGCTTCAGTCAACAGCTCCCATCAAATAATGGCACTAGATGCGAAATATCCATTACTAGGCATTATAATAGGGGCTCCTGAGGGATGAGAAGCATCTGCTGAGAAAACCTTGCTTCCTACATAGGCATCACAACAAAATCTCTGACAAATTCAAATTCCAGTCTTGCCAGGCTATCTCACCACACCACATCATGCTCTTCAGGTCAAGTCGCACCTATATAATCCATTATAGTAGTTTCCATTTTCTTTTCCATTATCTCGATTAGAACCCTGGGAAGCCCTGGCAGTCCAGAAGTGTCTTTTTGCCGCATCCCTTGGGCCCCGCCACGGCCACGAGATTGCCTGTCGCACCATTCACGACTCGTAGTTTGGGCGCAACACGCGTAGCGCGGATGGTAGACTTCTAGACTGGAGCCGAGGGTCTGTGCGACACATTATATTGGGGTTATATTGGGATAGTGGAAAATAAAATGGAAACTACTATAGCATATTGGGGTTATATTATATTGGGATA